GTGGCCAACTGCTGAGTTTTCCAAATTTGCTGGCTTATTGAGTGCAGCACTTTCACAACATCATCTTTTAGGAGTTGAAATAGCTCAACTGGAATTCCATCACCTGCACTAGCTTTAGTCATAGTGGTACTTCCTAAGGCCCACTTGACTGTGCATTCCATGGTGTCTGGCTCTAGCTGAGTGATCACATCATCGTGATTATTTGGGTCATGGAGATCTTCTTTGTATAGCTCTTCTGTGTATTCTTGCCACCTTGTCTTAATATCTTCTGCTTCTGTTAGGTCCACATCATTTCTGTCCTTAATTATGTCCATCTTTGCATGAAATGTTCCCTTGGTATCTCTAATTTTCTTGAAGAGATCTCTAGTCTTTCCCATTCTATTGTTTTCCTCTGTTTCTTTGCACTCATCACTGAGGAAGGCTTTCTTATCTCTTCTTGTTCTTCTCTGGAACTCTGCATTCAAATGGGTATATCTTTCCTTTTCCCTTTACCTTTAGCTTCTCTTCTTTCCTCAGCTGTTTATAAGGCTTCATCAGAAAACCATTTTGCCTTTTTGCATTTCTTTTTCTTGGGGTTGGTCTTGATCACTGCCTCCTGTACAGTGTCACGAACCTCTGTCCATAGTTCTTCAGGCATGCTATCAAATCTAATCACGTGAATATATTTCTCACTTCCACTGTATAATCATAAAGGACTTGTTCTAGGTCATACCTGAATGGTCTAGTGGCTTTCCCTACTTTCTTCCATTTAAGTCTGAATTTTGCAATAAGGAGTCCGTGACTTGAGCCATAGTCAGCTCCTGGTCTTGTTTTTGCTCACTGTATAGAGCTTCTCCATCTTTCGCTGCAAAGAATACAATCAGTCTGATTTTGGTATTGACCATATGGTGATGTCCACATCTAGAGTCTTCTCTTGTGTTGTTAGAAGAGGGTGTTTGCTATGACCAGTGCGTTCTCTTGACAAAGCTCTGTTAGCCTTTTCCCTGCTTCATTCTGTACTCCAAGGCCAAATTTGGCTGTTATTCTAGGTATTCCTTGACTTCCTGCTTTTGCATTCCAGTCCCCTATAATGAAAAGTATATCTTTTTTGGATGTTAGTTCTGGAAGGTCTTGTAGGTCTTAGAACCATTCAACTTCAGCTTCTTCAGCATTACTGGTCAGGGCATAGATTTGGATTACTGTGATATTGAATGGTTTGCCTTGGAACAGAGATCATTCTGTCATTTTTGAGATTGCATCCAAGTACTTCATTTCAAATTCTTTTGTTGACTATGATGGCTACTCCATTTCTTCAAGGAATTCTTGCCCACAGTAGTAGATACAGTGATCATCTGAATTCAGTTTGCCTATCCCAGTCCATTTTAGTTCACTGATTCCTAAAATGTCCATGTTCACTCCTGCCAACTCCTGTTTGACCACTTCCAATTTACCCTGATTCATGGACCTAACATTCCAGGTTCCTACGCAATATTGTTCTTACAGCATCAGACCTTGCTTCTATCACCAGTCACATCTACAACTGGGTATTGTTTTTGCTTTGGCTCCATCCCTTCATTCTTTCTGGAGTTATTTTTCCACTGATCTCCAGTAGCATATTGGGCACCTACCAACGTGGGGAGTTCATCTTTCAGTGTCATACCTTTTTGCCCTTTTGTACTCTTAATGGGGTTCTCAAGGCAAGAATACTGAAGTGATTTGCCATTCCCTTCTCCAGTTGACTGCATTTGTCAGAATTCTCCATCATGACCTGTCTGTATTGGGTGGTCCTACATGGTGTGGCACAGTATAGTTTCATTGAGATAGACAAGGCTGTGGTCCCTGTGATCAGTTTGATTACATGTGATTAATTTTCTCTGATTGTGGTTTTCATCCTGTTGACCCTCTGATGGATAAGGATAAGAAGGTTATGGAAGCTTCTTGATGGCAGAGACTGACTGAGGGGGAAACTGGGTCTTGTTCTGATGGGCAGGGCCTTGCTCAGTAAGTCTTTAATTCAGTTATCTGTTAATGAGTAGGGCTGTGTTCCCTCCCTGCTGTTTGACCTGAGGATAAACTATGGTGGAATATTGAAGATAATGGTGACCTCCTTCAGAAGGTCCCATGCACACACTGCCACACTCAGTGCCCCCGACCCTGCAGCAGGCTACCACCAACCCATGCCTCTGTTGGAGACTCCTGGACACTCATGGCCAAGTCTGGGTCAGTCTCTTCTGGGGTCACTGCTCCTTTCTCCTGGGTCCTGGTGCACACAGGTTTTGTTTGTGACCTCCTAGAGTCTGTTCCCCAGTCCTGTGTAAGTTCTGGCGACTTTATGGTGTGTTAATGGCGACCTCCTCCAAGAGGGTTTGTTCCATCCCCAGGTCTGCTGCACCCAGAGTCCCTGCTCCTGTGGCAGGCCGCTGCTGACCCGTACCTCTGCAGGAGACACTTATAGATAACTATATGAGATGATAACTATATGATAGATAACTATATGACCGATAAATACGGTGATTACTAATGTTATTCATAATTTCCGAGTGTACACCTAAGAGCAGCAACTTCCAATATGATCTTGGCAACATTCTGATTTTTCTACTTAATTTGGATGTCTCAAAGTTTCAAGCAGTTTTCTTTTTTAAGAGATCAATTTTATTTCATTTGCTCTCTACTCTTTAGTTGCTAAGTCATGTCTGACTCTTTGTAACTCCATGGACTGAAGCCCACTAGGCCCCTCTGTCCATGAGATGGTCCAGGCGAAAATACAAAAGTGGGTTGCCATTTCTTTCTCTAAGGGATCTTCTCAACCCAGGAATCAAACCCATTTCTCCTGCTTGGCAGGCAAATTCTTTATCACTGAGCCACCTGGGGAGACTTTAATTCATTTAAATTAAATTTAAAAAATTTTTTTTACTGAGTGTTCATGCTTTACTTACTGCTTAAATAATTTTATTTAAAAATGACAAAGCCATTACAAAAATATATTTATGTTCTTCTATAAATAAATTAGACTTATGTATAAATATCAATGGTAGGGCAGTCATTCTCTTTGAGAATGAGGTTCATGGCATACGCATAACCTGGAGGGTGTTATTAAGAGAAGTAAAAATTCTCAGGTACCAGTCCAAGCTGTTGAATCAGAAACTTTAGGTTGGATCCAGGAACCAGAGATTTTCCAAGCCCACTATGTGATCTGGAAACACAGTATGTTTTAAGAACCGGTACAGTAGGGTATTGCTACTAGGAAAAGATTAAAACTGATGAACGATTGGTTGTTTTTGCAAGTTGAATCTTCCAGTTGTAAAACTAGTTTTAATCTTGGCTACACATTACAATTGGGGAACTTTAAAGAAATACTGATGCCAGGGCCACAACACAAGTAACTGAGATTCTCTAAGGACTGGATCAGGCATATTTTGTAAAGCGCCCCAGGTTATTATAATGTGCAGTCATGTTTGGGAACCTCTAAAATTTGACTTAAAATTCAACATTCAAAAAAATGAGATCGTGGCATCCAGTCCCGTCACTTCATCGAAAATAGAAGGGGAAAAAATGTAAACAGTTATAGACTAATTTTCTTGGGCTCCAAAATCACTGCAGTGACTGCAGTCATAAAATTAAAACATGCTTGCTCCTTGAAAGAAAAGCTAAGACAAACATAGACAGCATATTAAAAAACAGATATATCACTTTGCCAACAGAAGGCTGTCTAGTCAAAGCTATGGTTTGTCTAGTAGTCATGAACAGATGTAAGAGACTGAACACCGAAGAATTGATCCTTTTGAACTGTGGTGTTGGAGAAGACTCTTGAGAGTCCCTTGGACAGCAAGGAAATCAAAGGAGTTAATTCTAAAGGAAATCAACCCTGAATATTCATTGGAAAGACTGATGCTGAAGCTGAAGCTCCAATACTTTGGCCAGTTGATGCAAAGAGCTGACTCATTGTAAAAGACCCTGATACTGGGAAATATTGAAGGCAGGTGGACAAGGGGGTGACTGAGGATAAGGTGGTTGGATGGCATCACAAACTCAATGGACATGAGTTTGAGCAAACCCCAGGAGACAATGGACAAGGAATCTGGACATGCTGCAGTCCATGGGGTCACAAAGATCTGAACACGACTTAGCGTCTGAACAAACAGCACCACATTTTGTATTAAGTTCTTATATTATTATTGCCCTGTGAGAGTTATAAAGTTATTTCCTAAATATCAATGCCACCTTTTGAGGGGATAGCAAGTGAAGGTAGTTGAATACAGAGATGTCATAGATACCCTCTGCCTTGGGCACTCTACAACCTTCAAATCACAGAGTGCCCAAAGGTAGCACAGTCCTACATTTTCCTCCACCTCCGAGAATTTACTGAAGAAAAAACAAACAAACAAAAACAAAAAACACCAGAAAGTTAACACAGCTGTAAAAGAAAGAATGCACTATGACGTAGACAACTCAGAATTAATAGAGGCGCTATTTCAGTAATTTAAAATAAAGATAATAAATGCCCTCAGAAAACAGAATGTTGGTAGAGTGAAAGAGGAACAAGAAAGTATAAAGAAGAATGAAGATGAAATACTGAATACTAAAAAACAACAAAAACAAAACCTCTTGCCTCATTCTGTTCTTTGCCATCACTGCCAATATTTCTCTGGAATGTTATATATATAATGGATCATATTTTCAGTTCTACCTTATTTAGAAATTGCCTTTCTTCCTCCCTTCCATCTTTCCTTCCACTTCCAACTTTGATGTTTGCTTTGTCTTCGCTAATGGCTTTAATCAAATTAATTATTCACTGTTGCTTCTTATGTATCTGTTCAATATAATGAAGAAAAAAAAGAAAATGAAAGACAGTGTCTAGAAGGCATTGTCTTTATATCTGCCCTTTACTCTTCAGTGGCAGTATCAACCCCTCCCTCTGTAGTGACAACCCAGAATGCATCTGGAGATTCTCAGACGTCCCCCTGGGTACAAATTCAGCCTCTGTTGCCAACCCGTGGTAAACACACTCTGGCTTCTCTCACCATAGATTCATTCTGCCTGTTGCTGAATTTCATGTGACTGGGATTAGATGGTATGCATTTTGTCTAATCAACTTATTGCTGTCCTTGAGTGTGGATCTATTTATTAGATTGTTAGACTATTGTTAGCCTGGATGCTTTAGCTATAGTTCTGAGATTAATCTCTACTGTTGTATTTGGCTGAATTTCTTTTTTATTTATGAAAATTTATTTAGAGCATTGGCTTTTTAAAAATTCTGATTTATATTAATTTAACAAATACATTTTGCTACATTGAAATAAGACAATATTGACGTTACAGTCATAGCAAATATTGGCAATATTGACATTGCTAATGGCAAATAGATGGGGAAACAGTGGCAGACTTTATTTTTTGGGGCTCCAAAATCACTGCAGATGCTGATTGCAGCCATGAAAAAGTTATGACCAACCTAGACAGCATATTAAAAAGCAGAGACATTACTTTGCCAACAAAGGTCCATCTAGTCATGGCTATGGTTTTTCCAGTGGTCATGTATGGATGTGAGAATTGGACTATAAAGAAAGTTGAGCACAGAATAATTGATGCTTTTGAACTGTGGTGTTGGAAAAGACTCTTGAGAGTCCCTTGGACTGCAAGGAGATCCAACCAGTCCATCCTAAAGGAAATCAGTCCTGGGTGTTCATTGGAAGGACTGATGCTGAAGCTGAAACTCCAGTACTTTGGCCACCTGATGTGAAAAGCTGACTCATTGGAAAAGACCCTGATGCTAGGAAAGATTGAAGGCAGGAGGAGAAGGGGACGACAGAGGATGAGATGGCTGGATGGCATCACCCACTCAATGGACATGAGTCTGAGTAAGCTCCGGGAGTTGGTGATGGAGAGGGAGGCCTGGCGTGCTGCAGTCCATGGGGTGGCAAAGAGTCGGACACGACTGAGGGACTGAACTGACTAAACTGACTTGACATTACAGTTACTATGTGGAAATTGCATTGAGTCTTTTTCTGGCAAAAGAGACAACTGATTTTATAAATAATGTTTGTCAATTTTAAAAGAATATGTATTCAGGATATCATATAAAATTCTAGGAATATTAAGGGTGATACTTAAATCTTTTGTATCACTAGTTTGTCTCCTCAGCCTACTGAATTCTGAGGTAAAGTCGTTATTGTCTCCTAACATGAATTCTTTTTGGAGGAAGGGGGGAACGAAGGGTGACACAGTCTTTGTTTCTAATATTTTCTCGTTGTATATTTTGCTGCTCTATTAAAAGAATGTATGTTTATAAGTGCTCATAGTATTGTAGCTTTTCAACACTCCGACCTATTCACATTTGTTTCATTAAAACAAAATAAGACTTTTTTTCTTGAGTACTGTGTCATCTAATACAAAACTGCCATCTTACAATATTTTTTGTTTGCCTTTGCTATACTTTTGCCTATTATATACTTGCTCATATTTTTTTTGTTTTTCTAGCATAAATTACATGTACCTAGATTTCCTTTCCTCTTCTTTTGTTAATTGTACATTAAATTTTAAAAACCTTAATTTATGCTTATTATAATAGCCTTTGACTTGTCTTATTTACCCTAGCTGATTTTACATTTTGTGTTTATTAGGCTTTCTTAAGAGTTCTTTTAGTGTCTTTTATTAATTTTGCTAAAATGAAACTTCTTTTCATTTTCACCTTTCATGATTTGAGTGTTTTTGTGTCAAATTTCTGTTTGCCTTCTGGTGTCCCTCACTGGTGGCTGACCTGGTCAAGAATCTGCCTGCAGTGCAGGAGACCTGGGTTTGATCCCTGGGTTGGGATGATCCTCTGGAGAAGGGAAAGACTACCCACTCCAGTATTCTGGCCTGGAGAATTCCATGGGCTGTAGTCCATGGGGTCACAAAGAGTTGGACACGACTGAAGGACTTTACTTTCATGGTGTCCCTAATTTTTACGAAACATAAATAGCTACAGATTTTGAGACATGTGATATTTTCCTGATCTCCCATTGTTTGTATATAATCTGCTTTTCTATGGGGCTTCCCTGGTGGCTCAGTGGGTAAAGCTTAATGCTTTATGCTTTTCTATATCTAATTTTTTTTAAAGATCAATTTCATTTGTTATGCATGTTCTGAATGTTATTTTATAGTTCAATGCTGGGATTTTTTGTATGCCATCGCCACATGTAATTATTTAAAAAATAGTTACTATGATTATTTTCAATTTTATAAACTTATCAGGATCTCAAAAGTTCATATATTTTGAATATTTTGAATGTTGAAATTTTCACTTGTTATCCCACTGTAACTGTGAAGCAGTGATTTCAGCCTGAGCCCTTATGTGCAAGAAGTTCTAGACGACGAGGTCTCCAGGGGGGAAAGAGGAAAGCTGTGAAAATGAACACTTTTACTTGTGGTGCCCTGAAAACCTGTCAGTTTATTTTTGGAGATAGACATGTAGCCAAACTATTCAAATCCAAACTTATCAGTGATGGATAGTGACGAACGGGGTTTCTAGTCAGGAAGGAGAATGAGGAGAGAGGAAAGAGCATGAGCCAAAGAGTAAGGGGAGGTGTTAGAGTGACTGGCATATGCACATACCCAGTGACGATGGCATGAATGCAAAGCCGAAAGGCACGGAACTCAGCGGCAAGGGATACAGCTAGAGATAATGATAGATACGTGAATGAGAGGATTTGGGGGATGGACTTTATCCTGTTGGCAATTAAAATAATTGAAATATTTTGCTCAAGGAAAACTATGAGAAAGTTTACGTTTATAAATGATATTCAGGTTGTGAAAGATGATTTAGAGAAAGCTGAGATTAGAAAGTATTGAGCAAGTGGTACCGGAAAAGGAAATGGAAACAGGGAATTTATTCATTTTGGGTAGCTTTTTATCTGGAGTGCAGGTATTGTTAGAGACAGGGATTCCTAGGTGGCTCAGTGGTAAAGAATCTGCCTGCAAAGCAGGGGATGCAGGTTCGATCCCTGGGTCAGGATGATCCTCTGGAGAAGGAAATGGCAACCCACTCCAGTGTTCTTGTCTGGGAAATCCTATGGACAGACGAGCCTTGTGGGCTACTGTTCATGGGTACACAAAGACTAGGACACGGATTAGAAAGTAAACAACAACAACAATTATTAGAGATGGCATGGTCAGAGCTGTCTCTTAGATTTCACAGATGAGTGGCTGGTGGATGCTGAAGTCATTAAGCTTTAAGCAAGGTGGGAAAGCACGTTCCACTGTATATAAAATTTGTTTGTGAAAACAGTGGGATATTGCAGTTAGATAGGCTTGAATTAAAATCGCTGTACTTACCTTTACTTTTTTTTTTTTACATTATGCATGCTACTTAATCATTCTCATTATTAGTTGTGTTCAGGGTAAAATATGAAGACTAATTCTCAAGAATTTTTGTGGAGATTAAAAAAAGAAAAACAGTTAATGTATGAAATGGATTGCTCATTTTATCATAAGATTTTTACTGGATTGGCCAAAAGATTCATTTGTTTTTTTCTCTAAAATAGCTAACTGTCTTTAAATTCATTTGAAAAAATTTTTTTAGATTGCATTATGACAGCTGTCATAGCAGCATACATTAAAAGAATCAAAATTGGTGAACTTTTGTGTAGCCATTTTAATATTGAAGAAGAAAGAAAAGAAGCAACATTTTCATCATATAATGCTTTATTATTTTAAAAAAGGTAAAAATACAACTGAAATGTAAAGAAGATTTGTGTAGTGCTTGGAGAAGGTCCTGTGACTGATTGTATGTGTCAAAAATGGTTTGGGAACTTTTGCACTGGAAATATCTTGCTGGACGATACTCCATGGTTGGATAGATCAGTTGAAGTTATAGTGATCAAATCAAGATATTAATTGAGAACAATCAACGTTACACCACATCAGAGATAGCTGACATACTCAAAATATACAAATCAAATGTTGAAAATCATTTGCACCCCCTTGGTTATGTTCATCACTTTGATACTTAAGTGAAAACAAAATCAAAAACCTTCTTGACCATATTTCCGATTGAGATCCTCTACTGAAACACAACAAAAATATTCCGTTTTTAAAACAAATTGTGATGGGCAATGAAAATGAAAAGTGGATACTGTATGTAATGTGGAATGGAAGAGATCGTGGAGCAAGCGAAAGGAACCACCACTGGCCTCACCAAAAGCGAGTCTTTATCCAAAGAAGGTGACACAGTGCATATGGTGGGGTTGGAAGTGAGTCCTCAATTATGATCTCCTTCTGCAAAACCACTGCATAGTCATAAGAGATTTGATTTAGGTCATACCTGAATGGTCTAGTGGTTTTCCCTACTTTCTTCAGTTTAAGTCTGAATTTGGCAATAAGGAGTTCATGATCTGAGCCACAGTCAGCACCCCGTCTTGTTTTTGCTGACTGTATAGAGCTTCTCCAACTTGGCTGCAAAGAATATAATCAATCTGATTTTGGTGTCGAGCATCTGGTGATGTCCATGTGTAGAGTCTTCTCTTGTGTTGTTGGAGGAGGGTGTTTGCTATGACCAGTGTGTTCTCTTGGCAAAACCCTATTAGCCTTTGCCCTGCTTCATTCCGTACTAGAAGGCCAAATTTGCCCATTACTCCAGGTGTTTCTTGACTTCCTACTTTTGCATTCCAGTCCCCTATAATGAGAAGGACATCTTTTTTGGGTGTTAGTTCTAAAAGGTCTTGTAGGTCTTCATAGAACCATTCAACTTCAGCTTCTTCAGCATTACTGGTTGGGGCATAGGCTTGGATTACTGTGATATTGAATGGTTTGCCTGGGAAATGGACAGAGATCATTCTGTCATTTTTGAGGTTGCACCCAAGTACTGCATTTCAGACTCTTGTTGACCATGATGGCTACTCCATTTCTTCTAAGGGATTCCTGCCCACAGTAGTAGATATAGTGGTCATCTGAGTTAAATTCATCCGTTCCAGTCCATTTTAGTTCGCTAATTCCTAGAATGTCTACATTCACCCTTGCCATCTCCTGTTTGACCACTTCCAATTTGCCTTGATTCATGGATGTAACATTCCAGGTTCCT